AAGACAGAAGGGAAGGAAAAGGAACAGAAACACATTCAAGAAGCTCTTCAAACATGTGGATATACTAACTGGGCTTTTGTCAAGTCAGCGAGGAAATCTACAAAACACACTAATAAACAGAAAAAGGAGAACAACAGACGGAAAAACATTGTCATCCCTTATGTTGCTGGAGTATCAGAGAAATTCAGAAGGATCTTCAACAAACACAACATCCCAGTACATTTCAAACCCAGCAGGACTCTCAGACAGAGGCTGGTCCACCCTAAAGACAAAACACCCATACACAAACAGAGTGGTGTAATGTATGCGGTCCAGTGCAGCGAGGACTGTCCAGACCTCTACATTGGAGAACCTAAACAGCCTCTTCACAGACGCATGACTCAACACAGGAGAGCCAGCTCCACAGGACAAGACTCAGCTGTTCACCTCCACCTCACAGATAAGGGACACTCTTTTGAGGACCAAAATGTGCACATTTTGGACCGAGAACACAGATGGTTTGAGAGGGGGGTGAAGGAGGCAATTTATGTAAAAAGAGAAAAGCCGTCTCTTAACAGAGGAGGAGGCCTCAGATTTCCACTTTCAAAAACCTATAATGCAACTTTAAAACAGATTCCCAGCCGGTTTTCACACCTGATGGGAACAGAGGGGCCTCGTCTGTGAATTAGAGGAACAAAAGACTCTTACTGTTAATGTTGTTTAGGTGTGAATTGCCAATCTACATATGTGTGTGTGTCTTATCTCACTCAGCCTTATAACCTGAATCTCTCACTCACTGCTCTTTGAATTGAGAAAGCTCCTCGGATGAGGAGCAAAACGTCTTCTGTTACAAATAAAGTCCAGTTGTTTTTGTATTGAACGCTTTTTGAATTTTTGGTCTTTTGCCTTCATACATCTCATACGTTCCTATGTGAGTGCAGCTACAGTGTGCACTCTCAGGACTTTATTATATGCACCCAGTGCAGACCGAATTAGGCAAAATGGTCTTCTCCTACTCCTCTCCTGTTTCCTAGAATAACTTGCAAAAAGATCTGAAGATCTCAACCTCTCTAAGTGGCTTCAAACATCTGCTAAGTTTCTGGCAAAAACCAATGCAGACATGTTCTTTTTTTAACATTCTACTGTACATTGCCTTACAACCTAGCTGTTTTTGTTTCAGTTTTTAATACCATTTTCTTTCACTTGTTCTTCTCAATTTGTATGCTTCCTTTATGATTGTCTACTGTTGATTTTGTGGTCTAATGTTGTTATCACTCTTTGTTAAAGTTAAGGTCTCTCTTTTAAATGAGTCCCCAAGGCTCAATGGGATTGACCTGTATAAATAAATGTTGAATAAATATAGAGACCTAGCTAGTCAGGGAACACTGCAGGCCCTCAACATGCAGCCATTCTCTCTCAGTTTTCTTCAATACATAACTCAGGTCACACATCTTTGTCCAGTACTTTACAGTCATTTCAATTCTCACATAAAGGTTTTATCGTATGCAAATCATCTCACAGGCAACAAAGCAAATAAAAGCTCTTGCATCAGAACAAAATCTAATCTTGTTTAACTATATTTCTACCAATTATCAGAAACTTTAGTCCATTTCATCCACTTTCTGTACACACACATACTTTATGAGCCAAAATGTTTTGTCATAAGGTTCATTGTGGAGTGAAAAGGATACCAACAGCTGTTTGGAATTTAACTACCTGTCCATCATTTCACTCTGATCTATATTGATGGGGTCTCTATATCTATGATGTCATGCATGCATATCTTTACTCACTTGATGTCTCAAACTGAGCCTGCTCTGGTTTTGCCACATGCTGTTCAAGGCAAACTTCTGTCGTAAACTTTTGTCAAATTTGTTTACTGCCACGACAGCTGGCAGTCCATTGTCTCCACCACAATCAGTAAGTCAAAAGGGCAAGTTCAATGAAAACGCCTCTGGACTGCATCCAGACTTGCAGACTTTCAGGGACTGACAATTTCCTGATCTTACTCAAAACTTAGCACTCAACACAACAAAGGTCCTCCCTCAGACTGTAAAGTCCCCAACGTTTCAGAGTTAAGCCTTTCTGATTCGGGTTGTTTTCACACCTGATAGTCCGGTAGACTCGGTTCAGTTGGGGACCAATATTCATAACATTTTGTTACATTTGAGCTGGTGCGTTTGCATTCACACTGCACTGTGCAGTCAGTCAACCTGTTAAACCAACCTATTCCCCTGCTCGCCTGTGGGGACGCTGCACCAAGAACTATTGAAAGAAACGACACAAAAACCTTTGAAGACACTTCTTCTTCTTCTTCTGGAAATAAAAACAAAAACGGAGTGGCATTAAGTTTTAGGAGTTATATTTTGTCATTTTTCAAAAATGGACTCAGCATGAGCAGAAGATGAGACAGAAGACCATGGAGAATATTGTTTTTCATACAAGGCAGCTGACGGCTCCATATGAGGTCAGAGAAATGCGTGTTTGTTTGCCCTGCGCTGTACTCCACTTCTTGCTTGTGGAGCAGGGCCTGGTCTGTTTACATTCACACTGTACTCGAACCGCGCTGGAGTTCTTTTCTACCGGACCGAGACCTAGGTTTTAGCCCGGGCCAGAGTTCGCCTTTTTGTTCCGTGAGAGAGTTCGATGGCACATTCACACCTCTCCAAACGAACCAGACTTTCTAGAAAAACAAGCTAGAGTTTGATTAACGCGGACTAAACAGGGCTGGTGCGAATGCACCCTTAGTCTTTCATCCGGTCAGTCTGTTGGCCTCGTAACAGATTTTCTGAACCAAAACAGCACCCACTGAACCCTTAACTTCACAGTGAAATCTAACCCCCTCAAATATTAATGTCCATAATTTGTTTAGACAAAGTCTCAACTGGTCAGTTCAGAGTCAAAGATCATTTGGGTCCCAGCAGTGACAATCATGGACTCCTGCAGCCAGCCCCTCTTCTCTCTAAAAATCTATGTCGAGATTGAAGGCTGGAAGTTTGCCACGCCAGGCTGAACAGATGTCTGGCCTGAAAGTCCAAAATGGTCACCTGAGGGACCCTGCTCTCTGTGCCAAAATTGTTGTGAAAAAAGGAGATTCCCAAACATACCAAGGTGTAGTTCATCAGATTTATTTACAAAGCTTTGAAGAGCAGTGCAGCATTCACAGAACATGCAATTACAAGATTACACTGTTATCAATGTTCTCATCCATGTGAAATCATGACCCACTCTAACTCCCTGAACTGGACAAGTTAGCTTTATAGACTAATCTTCCAGCCCAGCCCTCTGCACCTCCTCTCCATGTCCGAACTGTCATCAAAAAGGTTCGCTGCAGACAGGAAGGGGTGGATCTGCGTCAAGTACTCTGCTTGAGACACGTCACCATATCATATCAACTCTGTCATATCAATATCACATCAATCAGCCTTTGAGGATATCAAAACAACCAGTTCTTTCTGTTCCTCACTGACTGGTCACAGTAGGAGTGATTACACGGGACCCTAAATATCACATATCACAACATCAGCAGGAGAAGAACATTGCAGAACATTCCCGCAGGAGCGTTATTGATCATGATGAGTTCAAATAATACACATTACACTGACAGAACCACCTTGTGAACCGTATTAAAAACAGGTTCAGTCATTTAGAGCATTTTCAGTGACATCTAGTGGTTAAATGGGAAACAGCTAAAAAATGTGAACTTGTGATGAGTGGGGTTTGTGTGAGTTATGCATTTTTGTGTGGTATAAATTGATTGATGGGTCAGTTCTGTAAATGTATGTGGTCAAGGGGTTGGGATAAAACATGACTTGGAATGCAGATGATACAAATCTGATGGAATGGTAGGTTGTGCTTGTGTAACTACAACTCAGCATTGACTGGTTTGAACTAGTCACATAAGACAAGATAAGATAAGATAAGATAAGGTAAGATAAGATAAGATAAGATAAGGTAAGATAAGATAAGATAAGATAAGATAAGATAAGACAAGATAAAATAAGAAATGACAAGGGACATTTGAAATGATTTCATGATTCAGCAGTGGCTGTTTCAAAAGTCCAAACCAATGAAAGATTTGAAGCAGTGGCTTAAGAACAATGCAGCCTTGAGATTGAAGCTTGTATCAGAGCATGAGTAAAAGTGCCATCACTATTGTTGTGTAACTTTTATAGTTTTCTAAACAACAAATCTAATTTTCAAAAATGTTCCTATAAATGATGTTCATATCCTTAAAACTTTGTGTTCTTTGTAATTTTCTCAGCATACTTGCTCCATAATTGTCTTCATATGTCTTGTTTTCTCTCTGTGCGTCCTTTTTCATTTTGTATTTCCCTGTGAGTCTTTTTGTCTTTTCGTGTTCCACTTTCAAGTTTTTTTTTCTTGTCCTAAACACCCACGTTTTTGTACTTGCATGAGAGGAAAAGCATATAAACTTAAAAAAGTTAAATAAACACATGTAGATGTTACATTAGTTAAGTGTGAATAAAATATTGTAATCGGACAGTTTATGTGTAGTGCAATATTTCCTAAGTAAGTGAACACTGAAAGGTAGAGTGAGTATAACCCTTAACACACTTTACACAAAATAATACAGTATTTTTAAATAATACGAAAAAAAAACCTACTTCATTCAGAACGTTAGTTATTAGTATGTTGTAAACTGGATTCATACAATATAAAAGAATTTGCACAAAACTGTGGTGACAAGAATTTGAAGAATATAACAGAACATAATAGTTTATTAAATATCTAATGGTTGTAATAAAGTAAAGGTTACATACTACATAAATATAATATATATAAACTATAAACTATATATAAACTGTAAGGTACATAGCAGGTATGGTTAGCAGAAGTTTAACTTGGTGTATAAAATATAAATTTGCTAAAGACAATCTGATGTATTGTTGGAAACAAGTTTGTCCACATGATACTGTATGCAATTTGATTGTTTCTTAATTTCCTTCCTTCTGATTTCCTCTCCCTGTTTTTTTATTTTTTACTTTTGCTTTCTGTAGTTTCATCCTGCATTACCACCTATAAGAAACCCCCTCCACCAGTGCCACCACGAACCTCCACCTGCTCCACGTCCTCCAAGCCATATATCTCCATCACGGCCCAGAGCAGTACAGAGTCTGCACAGGTACTGCAGAACAGCTCCGAGCTCCACTCATTCACTACTTGACATGCTGACTTCTGCAATGACCAGTAAACAGAGTGTGTGGGTGGGGGGAGGCGAGAGTTGGACAAAGTTCTAACATAACATATTGTTACTCCACTGACATTTTTTATTGAAGAGCAATTAAACTTAATTGTGTAAAAAAATCGGTCTTTTTTTTATTTAGTTTAACTTAAATATTTATTGATTTACTTTTTATTGTACTTAAAAATCTACTTACTTTAAGTAAAGTTACTTAGTTACTTTTCTTTTTAAAGGAGTATCTCTTCTGCATTGCACAAAAGACAAAATTATTATTTATTTATTTATTTATTTTTTCTTAAATGAATGACATAGTCTCCCAATTTAGGAAGCTAGCCAAACATGCATATGCAGAGCTGTGCTACGTAAGTAACATGGCAGGATATTGCTAAACAAAACGATTCGACTCAGGTAAAACAAGCCAATATATTACAATCAAGCATAATAAATATTGTTAATAATAACCTCTACATATTGTTTCAATAAACCAAACTGGACGAGGAAACCTTGGACAGTCTGGAGAGATACGTGGACGAGTGTTTTGAAAACATCGTGATGGGTAAACCACAAAAAAACACAGCATCCACGGCTACACCAACTCCTAAACGCACGCGTTCGGAGAGCTCAACCAGCACGTCCACCTCTCCAGAGAAAAGCTTCACTGATGTCCTGGGCTCTATGGACAAGAAGCTAACCAGCTTAGATGCCCGGCTGGCCCTGGTGGAGGTTCTCCACAAGGAGTTTCAAGCACTGAGGGAGTCTCTGGAGTTCAGCCAAGCTCAGGTGGCGTCGCTCGCTGCAGAGAACCAAACTCTGAGGGGTAACGTCAAAGAACTCACCGAGAAGATGTCGCAACTGACCGGAGAAAACAGGAAAATGAAGGAGTCCATCCTGGACATTAAGGCTCGGAGCATGCGAGACAATCTTGTCTTCTCAGGGATCCCAGAACGAGAGGATGCTGAAGTTACGATCCGTGAGTTTATCCAACATCAGCTGAAACTCCCAAGTGAGATGGTAAAAAAACATCACATTACATCGTGTTGACCGGCTCGGAGGTAAGAAGCCCGATAACAAGCGACCTCGGCCAATAATAGCTAAATTTGAACACTACTGTCACGATCCAGGGTTTTGGATTCAAAATAAGCCAGACACAGGAGTGCAAAAATTAAGAACAGCTTTTATTAATAAGGCTGTTGATAGCTGGAGTCAGGGTCCAAAGGGCAAAGCAGGAGTCAAACACAGGGAGTCAGTGGTACAAGGGGTAATCCAAAAGGGTGATCCTTGAGTCGAGCTCAAAGACTGAAGAGGAGGTTGTTATAAGATTCCCTGCTTTCTCCTCCAACAACCTCCACTCTGCAGCTAATCAACTGATTGACTACACCTGGTTCCTGCCATCAAGACTCCACACCCCTGCTCTACTTAAGCCACAACCTGACGTTCAACCAACGCTCGAACATTAATTACCTCTGGTAAACTGTGACAGCCAGTACAATACTAGACTTTGACTCGTCTGCACTAACCTGTCTGTCTTCTCCCTGCTTGTCCAGCTCTGCTCCAGTCATCCAGCTTGTCGGACCTTCTCCTGCCTGCCTCTGGTTGCCAAACCCTGCACATCGAGATCACACTGAAGGATAACACTCAGACCATTCCACCAACTCTCAGCAACAGTAAGATACTTACCTCTTTGGACCTCCCGGATCTCGTGGACTCTTATCTTCAAGGATCGTCTGTACCCACGTTCACGACAGTAAGGCCTCCTTTATCCATCTTCAAATATTCTGAAAGGATCAACAGACTCCGTTACTCACCGCTCTCCCCTCTCTCTCCCACAGCCAAACACACCAACTACGCTGTAAATAAACTACCTTTTTTGTATTCCCTTGTCCTTGTGTTTTTGGTCTGCCATTTGGGGTCATACTTATCAAACAATATGTTACTCATAGTCGTTATTCTTGGCCATTCCTCGACATACCTCGAGAATGTTTACGGATCTCAACGGAGGACACAAGCTGATTATCCCATTCTTATCAGAACTCTTACAGTGCCCTCGAGAGCATCTATGGAATAGCTTACCGCTCTCGTCGTTTCCCTCTGCAGAATGTCTACGTCACTATGTGCTTGTTTGTACGAGGTGTTTTTTTAATATCAGTTTTTTCTTCTCAGGCAAGAAAAAAAAAAG